AGTACTTTATAAATTTTTTATTCCTCCTTTCATGTCAAATAAAATGGGGAAAATAGCAAGTTCTAAACAAAATCACATTGAAATTGTAGATGCTACTGTACTAATATAGAATGTAAAATACAAGACAAGCTGAATGAATTGAATTTATCCAAACCCAAGGGGCAGTAGGGTTTTTTCCACCCCTGGCTCTAGGGAATAGATTTAGTCAAGTATTTTCTTAATGTTCTGAATTGCAGTCCTCTCTAGGGCACAACAGACTGTTCCTTTCTTGAGAGACCAATTCACAGAAGGAGAGGAAGAGGAGTGGAGAGCAGAAATTGTGTGGAATACTCAACTATTTATAGAACTCCAGGGAAGATAAGCAAAGCTGAGCTGGGCAGGGAAGGAAAGCTAAAAGCATTTAGACCCAGACTGCTCAAAAATTGCCAACTTTCATCCAGATCCAAATCCAGATCGTAATCAAATTTTGCCAGACAGGTACCAGCTGCCAAAAACCCATTTCTCCCTTGTTTTTGCAGAATGGCTCTATTTTTATAATCCACTTTATCTCAAAGAAAACTGCAAATTTTGGCCAGGAAGGCAATAAAAAACACCTTGCTGACCTGGCAAAGGTTGATGTGGCTCACAGCTCCAATCTGAGCAGGCTTCAGGAGATGTGAGTGGCCTTCTGGCACTCGCATCACAAATTGTCAATTATAAAAAATAAGATATGTATTATTTTGATAAAAATCAGATTTGGAAGTGAAAGAGCGTTGTTTATTTTTTATCTTCTACCATCTTGAAAGTTATTAGGGAAATGAGATAGAAACATAAAACTTTACATGTTTAATATTGAGGGAGAACTCAGGGCCACAGAATTTATAAGCATAGTAATGAATTCCAAAATAGGACAGAGTAGAAGTGCAACATCCTAACTGGACTATTGTGCCTAAGATCTTATTCCTATATTCACATTTCTTCAATGAAAAGGAATCTAAATTTCAGTTGTGTTCTATAGACTCTACATCTACTCTAAATTCAGCAGCACCCAAAATTATTTTTAAAATTTAAAAAAAAATCCCATTTGTTCTGTTTAAGGGCTTAAACTTAGAATAGATATAAGGTTTATGAACAAAAGGAGTTAGAACTTAAAGTATCAACAATATAAAGTTTGTCCCTATTAGCAGCACACTTTCAAATAGAAGAGGAAAGCCTGAGAATTGAATAGAAAAAAAATCCAATTAAGGCCTGCATCTCATCTTAATACACTGCTGAGTAAATCAGAAAAGATACACTAAAGACAGTGTGTTAAATTAAATTAGCTCTACATACTGTATTTTAACACTTCCTACCATTTACTGAGAGCGCAGGAACAGAGCGGTTTTATGAGAGTACTTAAACCCTTCCAGCTTCTGCAGCTGAATCTCCAGAATTACAGCTCACATTCAGGATGCAGAAGGAAATTCTCCTGAACAAACAAGTCTCAAAACAAATAAAGAAGTCAGCCAAATCCCTTATAAATTATAAACCAGCCCTGTCTGCCAAACAACTGCCCAGTAAGCACTGGAAATGTTTAACAGCTTAAACCAAGGGTTTAAAAAACTCACAATATGCTTTCAAAGTTTTCATCACCCAGCTAAAAGAGTTCTCCATTTCAGCTCTTCATTTGGGTTGGACTGATCTCTGAAGCTCAAGTCCATATGGAATAAGGACTGAAGTGCCAGTTTGTTTCTTCCATCTGACAAGAACTAGACCCCATGACAAAATCTCAGCTTCCAAGCACGAAAAGCAGTGCAGAATCCCCCAGGTTCAAACTGGCACTGTGTTTGCTGAGAGATCATGGAATCTGATTACATTTCTCACTGCAGCTTTTGCATGGAGACATAGAACAGTTGAATATCTGAACACACTGCAGTGTTACTCAAAAAGTAACAGATTCAGCCTCAAACCTGACATTCCCACACCACAGCAATGGTGAAAGGCTGTTACCCTCAGCAGAGTAATTCATCCTTTCATGCAGATGCACCCTGGAACAACCAAGGAGTTTAGACAAGGCTCAGCACAACAACCCAGCACTGAACAGCAGAAAAGAATATCTGAACATAATATTACAGCCTGAGATTTCATTCAGCTTGAGGGTATAAGCAAGCTTTATGATGAGGTCATAAAGCAATTTTTACACTGAATTTATGAGCTCATTGTAACAGCCATTTCCAGCAGCTAGTGACTGGTTTATTAGGAGACAGCCTACAGCAAAATTGGAAACAGAGATTGCAGAGAAGCTCGACTGCAATATCCAAGACTGAAGCACAAAATCTGTAAGGCAAACAAGTAGGGAGGGAAGGTTTAAGCATGAGGCTTATAAATATCTGAACAAGGACATTTCAGAATCAGCAACACGAGAAGCATTGATTTACACTCACTTTCATTTGCAGAAATTCACTTTTATTTGAAGATGAGCTTATGCACAGCATGCAGGATTGAAAAATAATCACTACCCCTGAATATTCACACCAGACACCTATTGTTAAATCATGAAAAAGTGACAGCAGAGTGTTTTCACCACACATACAAATTGTTTAAGATCCATCTTGCTTCTTAAGTTAAAAACTCCCACTTGCTTCTTACATTAGTCCTTGTCAAACCACTCTAATTGTCACAACAATAAAGCAAATGTAACCCACAGCTCATCCCAAACTGCTCTGTGAGGGACAAACAGCTCAAAAATCCAGATTTGTTCTGCTGCCATAGGGAAAAACTCAAGGATCTTTTAAGGAGGTTCTAGGGAACTCAAAAAGGTTCATAAATATCAAACATTTTGAGACTCAGCATCAAAGGGAATCTTGGATCCTCTCTCATGTGCAGATCCCAGCTTGTTTCATTTCACACAGCAATGTCTGAGCAAAAGCATTTGACAATGAACATAATTCATGTACTCAAAGACACCCAGTCTAAACCAGAGAGACTCAAATCCAAAACTGCAGCAAATTCCTCAAAACTCAGCCAAGACAACTGGATCACAGAACATTCTAATGATATCTATAAATTCTTAATTGACTGGATTGTTTACAGTAACTCCCTGTTATCTGTGGTTTGGAATTTATCTGGCTTTCATTTTAAGCTATTGGTGGTTCCTATGCTGCTTCCTACTAAAGAGCAGTGTCAAAACAGAAGCCACAAGCAGAAATCCACATTATCACAGAATGACTGCCTAAAGGGGCAAGTACATCTCCTCACTTAGAACAGGTCATTTTTTCTGGTCATTTACCCACTACCCACTATGTCTGTCCATGTACGTAGAGAGTTAATTATGTGCACAGCCCAGTGAATCAAAAAACATTTTTAGCATAGTTCTAAATAGTTTTGAGCTCCATAGGCATTTTTAATCCAAGCAGATCCAGTTATTGGTTTATAGTAGTTTAATTGGGACAAACTCCAAGCATGCTACAGGTTCTGTACAGCAGTGATGCTCATCAGGCTCAGGACACAGAGAAATTTACTCAGCAAAGAATCTTTGGTGCTGTTGGAATGTGTATTCCCTACTCAACATAGTTTTGATCATCTGAATGGTTCTTCCATCACAAAATACCAATTAAATCAAAATTCATTCCATAACCCTGGCAACAGGATCCGGCATGTGCCTTCCCACCACAGTTTTTCTACACATGCTAAAAACCAAGTTTCTGCTTTACACCCCTTCAATATCCTTCTAATACTATCACACAGATCATTGGGAACCTGCAACTTCTTGGTTGCCAGGACAACTGATTGACAAGCAAAAAGTGCACCAAAATGCTTTTTTCTTTTGTACTTGGAACAAACTTCTGCATTTCTAGATTTTTTAGTCCTATCTTGAAGTAACACTCCCATTGCTGCTGTAACCGAGAAGTGTCTACAGGTCAGACATGCTACACAAATCTCTGAACTTAATTAATGCTAGACATTTTGTTCACTTAAATAGCAAATTATTTCCTCAATCATGCTCATTTACATTTGTAAACAATTGGGAAACACCTTACTATGTCATAAAAAACAAAGACTTGAGTAATTTTGCTAAGACCTTTCCTGTGCTGCAGAATCAATTGATGATGAATTAACAGTGCTAATGATCCAAAAGGAACACATTTACAAATTAACAGCTTCACCTGTTAATTGCTCAGATAGAATTGTGAACTGTGGAGGTATCAAATTCACAGGCAAAGCAAGTCACTGAGAAAAGCAGAGCCTGTGTTTGCTTCTCAGCCAAACACACACAAAGCCAAATTTTGCCACATATAACACTCACTCTAATTCCTGACAGGATGAGCTGATGCAGAACATGGATCTGTGCAGGAAATGTTACAAATACTGAACACAACACAACATTCACCAAAAGCTGGGAAGAGACCAATGAAGTGCTGCAGTCCATTATTTACAATCTTTCTTATTTTCATCTCAAATTATATCTTCAAATCTGGCCATTATGAGGCTAAATTTATTTCATGCTCTAAACAACAATTTTACACTTTCAACAGGTAAGATCTGCCCCAGAAAAGCAAAGAGCAGCTTAGGCCAGGGCAGATTTGGTAAGCACAGTGCAGCTTCCACCTACACAACTCTTCTTCTACCCTGCTACTTTTCTTTACTTTTCCTTTGACTCTCTCAACTATTCTGTTTTATTACTTGTAGGAACATCACTAAAAAAAACCTCACTGCAAGAAAGCCAAGAATTCACAGAGAAGCACCTTCCTACAGAGTAAATAGCTTGAGAAAGCACCATGAGGTGAGCTGACAGCTCCCCCAGTACACCACAGGGACAGCCAGCTCTGCAATTTCCACTCTTAGCCTGATCTTTCTTCACCTTTTTTGTTTGTTGGCTCTAATATAACAATCCAAACACAGAACATCAAGCTGTGCTAAAGGAAACCAAAGGGAAATATTTATGAGACAAGGAAACCTTTGTTTTTTAATCACACAACAAACCATAGCACAGTACAACTAAAAAATCACAGGTTTTACTTATTTTGGTGTCATTCCCCTACCTTGACGTGACTGAAATCGCCAACTTTGCTGCTTTCCTGGGGATTAAGAGGTTTGGTCTCCACTCTTGGTTTGACAACCTGCCTGAAAGGACTGGAGAGTGGGAGTCCACTGACACTGATTCCATCTGGAAAACAGAACAAAGAGAATTACTTTTGCTTGTCTCATGCTATGTTTTGTTCCAATTAATATTATATCTTATTATCAAAGGGAGAGAAAAGACACAAAATTTATATTAACCTTTTACACAAAAAGACAAAACAAAAAACAAAGATTATTTGGCTGTTTCTCCCGGGACACCAAAAATAATCAAACTTGACCACACCAAAAACTCAGTGAATATCACGGGGAAGGATGGAAACTGCATTTGAAATAATCACAATAGAGATGTCAGGTTAATAATATAAAATTACTTTTAACATTTACAGTATTAAAATAAAAATCAAAGTTTGTGGTTTTCCATGTCAGTGTGATCCTATCAGCTCCTTAAGATCCTTAAATTAATTTCTGGTACAAGGATTTCTTTTTAAAGTGTATATTGTGGAAAATGACAGAAAATAGAGATGTCATATTTTGTACATCTACTAATGCAAAAATAGATTAAATAGTTCTCACATATAAAGGAGGCAGAATGGAAACTTAAGGTTTCCATTGTATGAGTCAACAAAAAAGCTTAAAAATACCCTGAGAGGAATGTCCTGAGAGTTTGGTGCTCACTCCCAGTCTGGGTACTGGCACACACAGGATGACAAAGATACAACACAACAACTTAACAGCTTCTGTTACTGCCAACAAGGTGTAACTTGAAGGTAAATAAATGCACCGCAGCACATTTGGGGTCCTCAACCCAAAAACTCTAAGCACAAATTTAAAATGTTTGAAAATTACTGCTGAATCAAAAGAATTAGAAGAACAAGAGAATTAAAACAAGGAAGCTTTAACAAACAGTAAAAATAGATTCACTATTTGTTATTATTTACATCCAAAGAATAGAAATACTTTGATCCTTGATGCTGTGCAGAGCAAGTGCAATCCACAAACACCAACTAAATACAAGCAAAATCTCATGTACAGCAGCAGAGACATAGAGCTGAACACACAAATTGTGACACAAAATCCAAACAAATTTCCTAAATTGCTCCTATGAAATCTGGACATGCTGAAGAGCTGAAGATACATTCCTCAAAAGAAGAAATCACAAGGACAAGATGGAACATGTAAGGGTTTTGCTTCATTAAACTTCACAGGTATCCAAAGGAGAAAACAAAGGGATTATTCCCATATTCCCTTACTTGCAATTTCCTTCACTAAATAATTCTAAAATTCACCTTACCACTGAATAAATATCCTAAAAAAATTCTATCAGTCCCTGGGGGAGAGCAGGACAGGAGGTGAGAGCATCCTGCCCATGCAATGCAGCAGGACCATGAAAAAGACAAAACACAGAAATAAATACAGAACTACATTTGATCACAGGCTTTGCAAGCTGCTCTTTCAAAATGAAAATTAGAAGTTTTAATTGAGGAAAAATATTCTTCTCCAACTGATGAATGATTTTCACTAGTTCTATATTTAGAACAAAAACTGACACTGACTGGTGCATAAAATTGCAAATTAAAACATGAAAGGAACCAAGTATGAAAACCTGCATGGCATTAGTCACATTTTCCACTTCTTATATGGCATGAGCTTTATTTCTTTGAGAGAAGAATAGATAATACCTAAAACATCACAGAGATACAGCTAATGCCTTTCTTAATTACTTTATCTTTTAAAATCCCATTTTATTTTTAATTTCTACAGTGGGGTGGGGGGAAGAAAAAACAATCGTTTAAACATTTTCTCTGGAAAGAAAACATTTTTAACTCTCTAATTTGTATCTGAAAAAGGAAGTTTTCTAGCAAGGGAGACATCAGGATGAAAGGGAAGTCCAAGGTAACTTGGTAGTGGTTGAACTTTCTGTCTCCAGTCTGTGGCACTTGCCCAGAACCAGTGCCAGGCACTTTGTGATGCTGTAAATGACTCAGCCCTTCTCAGCCTGGACTGCTCAAGGCAACTTCTCTGCCAGAGGACAAAAAAAATAATTTTCTACCACAAACAACTATTTTTTTTAAATTATTTTGTTTCTCCTCTTCTTTGATCAGGCAGCAATGGGAGAAAAGACCTTGCTCAGCTCCCCTGCAATACATTAAATAGTCAGAATGGGGGAAAATGCTGTTAAAAACCCTGCTAGGCTGCAGAACTTAATGATGGCAGGAGAAAACACTGAGCACCAATGAAGCAGTTCTCCAGAAGTTTTACATTATTGATACTTATATTTTTTGAGATTTCATACATTTTATTTTCTCTCATGAAGTTCAGAGAGGTGAAGATGTTAAATCCTCCATAGTTTTCTTTTGTCAATCCCGACTGTCAAACATCCTGAGCAGCCTTGTACTATATAAAAAGTATAATTATCTTTCCACTCTGTCCAGAAATTTTCCTAATTTCAACAATCCACACTGAATATTTCCATGGTAACAGCTTATGACCAACACTTTTCCCATGGTAACTGCAAAAACACAGCTTGCCTTTCCAACATCCCAGTCACTGCTGTCACAACAGAGCAAAATCTCCTACCAGCATTTCCTCTTTCCTATCAAATGTTAAGTAAATTGTCAATTTAACTTCATTAGCCACTTTCCCAGCACTCTGCACAGAAGAATCCCACAAAATTTCTTACTTGGATGAGGGAAGTACATTCAGGGAGTTAAACCTGTGGAACTACAATGAGCACAGAAGGAAGGGGTGGCAGGGGACAGCTCCTGTCCTGTGTCACACTGTGCTGTGCAAGGACCACTGGCCTGACCCAAAAATGGATCCATTTTTACTGTCTGTTAAAGCTTCCTTGTTTTAATTCTCTTGTTCTTCTAATTCTTTTGATTAAACAAGTAATTTTCAAACATTTTAAATTTGTGCTTAGAGTTTTTGGGTTGAGGACCCCAAATGTGCTGCAGTGCATTTATTTACCTTCAAGTTTATTTACCTTCAAGTTGGCAGTAAAGAAGCTGTTAAGTTGTTGTGTTGTATCTTTGTCATCCTGTGTGCGCCTGTATCCAGAATGGGAGTAAGCATCAAACTGGGGACATCACAGCCATGGAGGTCCCAAACCCCATAGAAAGGAAACATTTTAAAACTGTTCCAGTGACACCACAAAAGTTGGGATTCTGAGGCAGTGTCCAGGCAATTCCATGACACCCAAAATGGAAACTGTGGAAGGTTTTAGGCTGAAATGCTGCTTTTGTCCAGGAGAATTTCATACAATCCAACAGCAGTGCAGCCCTGCTTCCTGCAGCTTCCTCAAAAGCAGCACAGGGACCCTGAGAGGGGCAGGAGGAGGAGGAATCCCAGAATTATTCAGGTCGGAAAAGGCCTCAGAGATCAGGGAGTCCAGCCTATGACCAGACATCACCACATCCAGAGCCCGAGTGCCACGTCCAGCCCTTCCTGAAACACCTCCAGGGATGGGGGCTCCGCCACCACCCTGGGCAGCCCATCCAGGGAGGGCAGGAGGGGCTGCTGGCCTGGAGCAGGATCCCTCCTGCAGCCCAGGGATGTTTCTGGGGGGGTTCTGCCCCTCTGCTCTGCTCTGGGGCTCCCAACATCAAAAGGATCTGGAGCTGCTGGACCAGTTCCAAAGCAGGCATCAAAGATGCTCAAAGGGCTGGGATGCCTCTGCTCTGGAGACAGGCTGGGAGAGCTGGAGCTGTGCAGCCTGGAGAAGAAAAGGCTCTGGGGAAAACTCAGAGCCCCTTCCAGGGCCTAAAAGGGATCCAAGAGAGCTGGAGAGGGACTTTTTGCAAGGCCATGGAATGATAAGACAAGATGAGGGTGGCATCAAACTGACAAGGAGAAATTCTATCCAGAGCATGATGAGGCCCTGGCACAAGTTGCCCAGAGAATTTGTGGGTGCCCCATCCCTGGAAGTGTTCAAAGTCAGGTTAGACAGGGCTTGGAGCAACCTGGGATAGTGGAAGGTGTCCCTGCCCATGGCAGGGAGGTGGAATGAGATGATCTTGACAAGGTCTTCCAACCCAAACCATTCTATGATGCTATGTCACAAAATCATGGAGTTTTTGCAAAGTACACAGCTTGATCATAACATATGAAAACTAAATGCCACTTCAACCCATTTGTTTATTTTGTCAATTCTTGCCTGACTGAAATTTCAAAACAAAAACCTCTTGCTAGGCAATATCTCATAAGAACACTGTAACAGCTTTGAAGTTCTTTAAACATGCAGGGAAAAAAAAACCTCGAGACAAGAGACAGACTCTGCTTGCTGAACTTGAATGTCTTTTCTTTTATTTCCCCCTAGAAAAAGAGAACTGTATTCTCATGATGTGTGCAGAATTCTAGAAACTTGCTGTGTGCAGCAACAAAGAGCAGAATAACACCAGAGCACAGAGAGTTTGAGGCAATATAATGCACCCTTCACACTTCAGGTGGGCACTGGGATGCAGCTCCTTCCCTCTGTCCAAAATGTGCTCAGGACCATCACAGGAGGGAGCCCAGGCAGCAGCACTCCAGGCAAAGTTCCTGGGAATGCAGCAGCTCTGCCTCAGCCAACATGAACCAGACTTGAGCTCTTCTTTGAAACTCCATTACCTTTGAAGATAATAATTAACAATAACAAATGCACTGTAAGCAAGGATTTATGTCCTGAGGTTGTTGAACTGAACTAAAATTGGAAGATAAATTTACAATAAGTGTGAATGCAATGAAAGAGAACAAATGAAGTGTAAAGAAGTTCATAATAAAACTAGAGATTATGTATGCAGATTACATTAGATGCTAAAATAAAGTGCCTCAGCAAAGGACCAGTATAAAAGGATGGAAGGTTTATTGGCCTGTATGTGCCAATAATCAATTTATTGTTATTTGCCTCATGTTTGTCTTAGTTATTTACATTGTAAAGATTTGGGGTCTGAAACACAAGCTGTCTGTGTATTTGTAGTGGCTGGAGTACTATGGCACTTAGATACTGTTAAAAAATCCCACTCTGTATTAGTCAAACCATGAGACAAGATGATTTATCTGGTTTAATGTGCAGGGGGAAGAGAAGAGGGCACCTTATCTTCCATAAGCACTAAAGCTGGAATTCAAGAAGAATTCTGTAGTTCTCAAAAATATTAAGAATATTTTTTAAAGTTACACAGCGATGAATTTATGGAGGACACAGAAGCATCTGTATTTTTAAAAAACAGAACAAAAGGGGAAAAAAACCTAATTTGCTCATTTCAACAGTACATCCAAACTGGTATCTTCAAACTGCAGAGACAAAAAAAAAACTTCTTAGAAATGAAGTCACTTCAAAAGAATACTCAGAATAATTAAATGTAATAAAGGCTACTAAGCAGAGTAACATGGAAATGATAATACTGCAACATCTCTGAGGACCCCATCATCATCACCAGTGATACCATTATCCTAATAGAGTCCTCCAGGCTACTTAGTTTCTTGGAAGAACTGTCAAGAAAGCATTTAAATTCCAAACAAGGTATCATTCCAACAAACAAACAAACAAACAAAAAAAAAAAAAAAAAAGCTTTGTCTGTACATTGTATAAGTGCAGGGACATTTTAAAGCAGATAAAATCTGGACATTAAAGCAGAAAAACAACAAAGGGAGTATGAAAAATTCACTGGTCTTGCATACCAATGTTAAAAATATTCAAGATTTGTGCTCCTAGAAATATGCTATTATTGCTCTGCAACGTTTTTCCCCCTGGAAAAAGGAGTGATGCCTCAAGTTTTAGCTTTCATATTTCCAGATTCTGTAGACATTAGTTTATAACTCTGAACTTCATATAAAGTGTTAGCAAGTTCTCCTCACAGCTCAGTCAGACAAAACAATCCTTTTCCAGCCCCAGAACCAAGGACACCACTGCAGCTTCAGGCCCAAAAAGTGCAAACAACAGGGAATTGAGGAGAGCACACTGGGAGGATGGGACTTCATAACCTGAAGCTGTAATTGGACAATTAACCCCAATATATAAATGGGCCAAAACTTTTAAAAGTGTGAAAATTCATTACTCACAGTCCATCTTGGGTGGAGCCATGGCCAGGCTCTTGCACTCTCCAAGGTGTTTCCTTTAAAGGCCTTTTTAATGAATCCCTGGTTTATTCCTTTAACTCTGTCTAGCCTCTGTTCTAGGCAGCCTCTCCAGGCATCAAGAGAAGGGAAGGAGAGACTTAAGGCACAGATTTGCTTCTCTCTCAATGTGTAATTAATTAGTTCCTTTGATGAGTTTATGAATTTAAATATTCTCACACTTGTCTTTAGGTTCCCTATACAGGGAATAAATGAACATTAACATTCTACATAATGAAGTATTCATTGCAAATTAATTCATTAACTTTAAAAAACTCTGTCCCCACCTAACAGGAGCTTTGTTAAAAACCTCAAACGAGTCACTGTGTACAATACAGTAGAGAAAGAGCACCTTTTGTTCTCACCCCATTTTTAGTGTCAGGGAAATGCAGAATTTCAGAAACTGTATAATAGCTGGAAAGGGGAATTCATTATGCTCATAATGTGAATATCCTGTTGACCTTTTTAGTCACCTTAACAGGTGACAGAGATCTCAGTGCTTCAGCTCCTTGCACCTGGCTGTACCAAGCAGACCAAGGGCTTCCCCCTGCCTCACCCAGTGTAACAACCTAATTTAATTAAATTAAATGCCCATGCTGACCTTCTCAGCCAGAGGAGGAGCCCCGAACCATCCAGCTGACAAGAGATCCAAAATTTCACTAAGATTTGTAGCAAACATGGATCTCCCTGCATGGATCTCCCAAATCTTGGTCAACTGGCTTTAAGACATGGGATCACAGAATTGTTAAGGTTGGAAAAAACCTTGAAGATCATCCTTGATCAACTCTCAGCCCAGCACCTCCATCATGTTCACCACTAAACCACATCCCCAAGTGCCACATCTGCACTTTTTTTGGAACACTTTCAGGGCTGGTGAGGCTGGTGAACAGGGCAGCCTGTTCCAACGTTTTCCAACCATTTCAGTGAAGAAATGTTTCCTAACATCCAATCTACACATCCCCTGCTGCAACTTGAGTCCATTTCCTCTCATCTTGCCTTTTGTTACCTGGGAGAAAAGACCAACATCCAATAAAATGACAAAATTCAGCATAAATAAAAAGGGGGGAAAGAACCCTAAACTTATACATGCAGAAAGAGGCTCTCAGGATATCATTTCTGTTGACAAGCAAGATCATGGAGTTGTGGTTCACACATTCATGAATCTCCCAAATCAATGCTCAGTCAAAAAAGCAAATGATAAATTGTGCATAATCCCATGATTGTAAGGCAAGTAATATAAAACAAAGAGCACCATTAGGTCATCACATGAACACACGGATCAGCTTTCACTGTGTAAAGCCTCCCTCAAATTGACAGAAATGAGAGTTCAAAAGGGACAAGACTGACATTGGAACAGTTCCTATAACAGGGACAGCCAAACCCTCAGCAGTTAGAAACCCCCAGTCTGCTGTGACAATACCCTGGGAAAATGCATCAGATCACTGCAGGAACCATGTTTGGAAGATGTCCTGTTACCTCTCTCATGCAATTAAAAACCTGGGAACACAAGGCCACCAGTAAGTGCAAAGCTGCTAAAAAGTAATTTAGCTGTGACTCTTCTTGCCATGGAATGTTGTGAAGAGCTGACAGGAAGAATGGAGATTTTTATCCCACTAAGGATGAGTAAAAGTGCCTAGAACCAGAGAAACCATATTCAGCCCTGGAAGCTCCTAAGCTAATAGTTAGAGGCCTAGAGGAAAACAGAAGTTAGTGCACAAATTTTCCTGTATTATCCCATTGGAATCTGTTCTTAGCCACTGTTACAGTCAGGATATTGGCTGGATGGTCACTGATGTCATGTACTCATGGTTTTGCTTCCTTCAATCTGGAAAAACACCCAACATTTTTCCCTGTGAGGCAGCACACCATCAACACATCTCAGCAATTCAGATTGAGAGCTTGGTTTACTTTCCAATTGGATAAATGTGTATCATCAAAAACATCAGTAATTTATCCCTTCTGCAGCATGTCCTGATTACAAACAGTGCAAAAGGAAACAATTCCAGCAGCAAATGAAAGACATGGAAGTAAAAATTGCCCTACTAAAGACATTGCTTTTAAGAGACAAAAGTATTTTGAACATCATTGTAAATGTGGTTGGTCTTCAAAAGGAAAAGGTACCACAGTACCCTATGATTAAAAGTCTTGTCATAGTTGCCATTGATTTTCCAGCTCTTTACTGTTCTTCCCATCAGGCTCTTACCTCCTCTTTGGAAACTTTAGCATTTGGAAAGTTCAAAGCAATACATAAAATATAAAATAGCAACTCAAATTTCAATATACTTAGCATCCTAATAACACTTTCAAAGGACAGAGAATGCACAGCACCCACAGATACCATAGTTCCAACAAAGAAGGAATGGATCCTACTCCTTTATCATCACTAAATGAGGAAAGGCTGAATTGCTTCTGCTGCACAACCCCTCAGAGAGGCAGGAGGGAGTAGTAGGGTAAAAATGGTGTTCAAAGATTTTGTTCATCTGTGGTCCCATAAGAGCTGGATGTAGGTAAACAGAGACCAAAATCCAAATCCCAAATCCCACAAGTGTTCAGTGTCCATACCATGAAGTGTGTTATCTTCACCTCCTACAGAATAGTTGGGGTTTATGTTATTTCATCAGAAAAGCTCCTGGACAAGTGCAGCTTCAAAGCATTTTGGACACTGGGCAAAGGAAGGAAATTTTCCATATACTTGTATGCTTATATATCTATATATCAATATTTACTATGAAATCTCACTTGCCATCAAGGGGAATTCCTCAAAGTCTCAATTCCCTGGCACCTGTATTTCCCAATGTCAGAGTGGGCTCTCCTTTCACTACCAGCATTTTCCACAAGCTCTAAACTGAACTGCAGTGTAACAACACTGTGGAGTTTGTGCAGTAAAGTTCTAAAATATTTTTAAAGTATCTTTATATTTTACATTAGGGAGGTTTCAAAACCAAAATCTTTCAATCATTACTAACAACTACTATAATTTTTGTCTAAATGCATTTGCAAGGTAACTCAAAGAAATCATTCCTATTCAACCTGAATAAGCTCTGCATGTAATTTTGTTGTACTCTTCTGTAGTGAAAGATTACTTATAAAGGTAATGCAGACCTGCAAGTGGATCCTGGGAAAAAATCCAAATAAAAAAGAGTTTTTAATACAGGACTGTCTTGTTTTATCAAGGTAATTTAATCAGTGCAAACATATCAGACAAAGAAAAAAATACAGAGTAGAGTAATTACTCCAGAAAGACTGTGTGTTTATTATAAAAAGGAAATCCTTATTACAAGTATCTGGTACCTGTAATTCCAAATAATTCTAATAGAAGCAAACACTGCAGCTTCCTTTTATTCAAAATAAGTTTAAACACATGGCACTTTCTCTGCAGTACAAATATTAGGGGGATTCTGCCTTAAATTTCAATCTGTCACTTTAGGCAAAACTGCACTCAGCAATTATTAAGAATTCTGCAATCCCGGATAATTAAATAATCAACTCAATGCTATTTTTCTTTAAACCCCACTAATGTTTGTGAATTATTTTTCTTTACCCCCATAAGGTAAGGATTAAAAGAGACACCTCAAAACCACTGTCAAAAATATTTTAAAAGACAGCAGGGCATGGTCTTATGATGGAGAAGCTGGGCCAGACTCTCATGCCCACAGCTCTCTCAAAAATTCACCCTTCAATCTGCAGAGCTCAGCCAGGGGTTGACTGTGCTTTACAAGACACAAATACTCAAACATGCAGCCACATCACAAATCAGTTTAACACAAAGGGCACAGCAGTTAGCAAAGTGTTTCCAGCAGCACATAAACCCTCCTAAGCAAGGAGAAATGAAAAACTCACCATCACTGAGATCCTGCAGAAGGTTTTCTTGGCAAGAAAAGTCCAGCTTCACTTTAATGTTTACAACAAATGTTGCAATCTTTCCAGGTTTTAGAGGGAACTGGCAGAGGGTGTCTTCTAGATTCCAACTCAAGAACTCTCCATACAGCTTCTCTGTAGCAAAATAAGTAAATATTTCATAAGCATAAGCCCTGCATTAAGGAAGTTTCAGTTTTGAACTGCTGTAGAGAGTACTAACCAATCTGTCATGTCCTGTTTAAAATCTAAAATATTCAGAATTAATGTATTAAAATTAATGTAGCACTAGAAAGATACAGAAGTTACTGGGTACTGACACTGACCAGGAATCACACAGATCACAAAGCTCAAAATATGAATTTAAGTGAAGAACATCACTACCAGAAAAAAAAAAAAAAAACTGCACAATAGGCAGCATTAAATATAAACTTTAAATATAGCCTGCAGGGGTTCTAAATGTTCATGTAGTTTGGAATCCTACACAGTTCAGCTCAGGAGGTGTCACATGAATGCAGAGCACTTTTCATCAAAATAACCCAAACTTAATCAGCTGAAATTCTGAAACAGCTGTAACATCGTTCTTCAGTTATTTACTGAGCAATAGAGAAGGCTAAGAAGGGTACTGGCCTTCATCCTTTTATAAAGTCCTTTCTTAAAGCTCAGAAGCCGATTTTTATAAGACCCAGTCATTAAGGATGCCAGACAGGATTAATTGTTGACAAAAGAAAATTTGTTTAATAAATTATTTGCCATTTGTCCACTTGATATAGGGGAAAAAATAATTATTAAGTAATTAATGTAATTATTAAGTCCTTCCTCATGCCAGAACATTATACAAGGGGGGAAAACCCCAGAATTTACTGTTCATCTACACTGGGTCCTCAGTTCTAGCCAGGGTCAACCCACCCCATTCATAAATTCATCCCTATATGCAAGACCAGCCAATGCTAAATGCTACAAGAAAGTCAATTGGTACAATAAATAATCATGATGTTTGGCTGGGAGAGCCCTAAAAATATGTTTATTGATTTGTTATAGAAATGCACGTTATCTCCAAAGTATATTGGAGAATTCGTCTAAAAGCTGATTTAAACACCTTTTGAGCAGAGCTTTGCATAACAGGGACCACAGAAAGTCACACAGTTCCTCTCTACATCTGCCCAGGCTGCTTGGTAAGAGCAAGGTAATTAAAATCTGCTGTGATTTCAGAACCTTTCCAAAACCACCCTCTAAGATCCACATGTGAGGGAACAGGGAGGGCAGACTCCCTCAACTACCACAACCTGGAATAAAGGATCTTTCAAAAGCAGCAATCAGAATTCCAAATTATGTCCAAATCATGTTGATTTGCACAGGAACCTTTGGTTTCCCTTTCTAGGAAAAGAAGAAAATAAAGAGAATATTTTTTCCATTAACTTCTACATAAACAATAAAAGCTTTGCTTGAAAGACACTCTTCTCACAGAGCACCAGATGTTGTCTTGTGTCTTTCCCCAGCAAATCAATAGTAAAGATTTCTTTATTAAAAAAAAAAAAAAAAAAAAAGACAAGATAAAAATAAAAAATCCTCCCAAAAATTATTTCCTTGAACTCATTTCCACCCCACCTAATGATTTAGCTGGAACCATATCACCATTCTGATCATTTTCTTCTACTTTCATGAAAAAAAAGCAAGTTAGTAAGTATGGCACTCTCTATCCCCTTCTCCTGTAAAGTAAAATTCAATATGCTTAAGGAGTGTTTTCCCTCAATTTAAACAAAGAAGGACATATCCCAAGCAGTGGAGCACCAAACTCTTTCCAAAATGTGTTTTCATTAAGAGATCTATTTGAAGACATTACAAGTGAAAAGATTTTTGAAGTGAGAACAGCCCTTGCAGATACTTTCTAATTAACACCAGTAATTACAAGATAAGATCTAAATGCTGGAGCTAAAAGCTAAGCTGTAGATGTGGAGAAACAGCTAATTTATATTTATCTGACACTTGGTTATAGTTTAACAATGTTGACCTTGTTCAGTAATCAGCATTACAGTGAATTTTACTCTGGCTTCAGACATCTCAGTTCAGTGGCAGGCTGAACTGGGGCAAGCCGGCATTCAGCTCTTTCTCAAGCCCAAAATTTGTGTTTAGCAAACAAGTTACAAGCAACTGTTATCAGGAGTTGTAAATGGCAACCTGTTTCATTTTACTGGGTGCTAAATCACTAAAATCCTAACAAATATCACATAAAAGCTTACCCAGAAACTAACTTTGGGTCATCCTAGACCACTCTAACAGATTTTAAGGTCTGCCAAAGAAAAAGTCCACAGTGACATTTTACATAGAGAAACTTGGTAGAAATGTCTTCTGACAACACAAGAACCTCAATTCTTTTCAATCTTAAATCCCCTGGTAAATCTGGCTTTTTGCTATAGGTTATAAACTCAAAATAACTATCAGTTCTAAATGCACAGGCATTGCCATTCACACATTTTAACTTCTCCTAGACTTGGTGGATAGAAATGAACCTGCAGGACTTGTTATGCTCTTTCCAATGAGATAACACATTTAGGAAGGAAAAGAAGTTATTGCACAGAAGCAATTGTGTTCAGAGCAGAGTGAGAATATGTGAGAGGAACAACTCTGCAGACACCAAGGTCAGTGGAGAAGGAGGGGCAGGAGATGCTCCAGGTGCCAGAGCTGAGATTCCCCTGCAGCCCAGGGAAGGACTCCTCCCCCTGAACAGCAGCTGGACCAACATGAGATGAACTGAGAGCAACCCCCAAAGCCCCTCCTGGAAAGCCTGGGAAAGAGGGACTGGTGGGGGGAAGTGTTTTCAAGACATATTTTACTTTCAATATATATTTTATATTAATTTTTATATTTTCTAATTGATTTTAATATATATGAATATCTATTTTCAATATATATTTTACACGTCTCATTATCCTGTCCAATTTTGTTAGCAATAAAATTAAATTAATATCCCCAAGGTGAGCCTGTTTTACCTGTTACAAACAATGATCACTGAGTGATCTCTCCTGGTCCTTAACCCATGAGACTTTCATTGTATTTTCTTCTCCCTGGCCATTTGTGGAGGGGAGTGACAGAGCAGCTTTGATGGTGTCTGGCATCCAGCCAGGGCCAACCCACCCCAATAGCCCAACTCCAATGTGAAAGAATTTACCGAGTTTTCTTTATCAAAAATGGAAATAGATCTAGTCCTGGATATTCACAATTCTTCCTGAACCTCAGAGTAGATTTTTCATTTGTGCTCTGGCAGATGTGCTCAAAGGCCATGGGAAGAATGCAGCTGGACAGGTGAACCTGTTTCTCTACATTTAAATTCCTGAGGTCTGTCACTGCTGGGAAAGATGAGTGAGGATTTGGCTTCATCCAGGTTCATTCCATGTGTGTATCTGGGCTCACCACTCATGCTGAGATTGCCAAGTGGGCTCTTCTCAAGTCTCAAGTCTGAAAACACCAAGGTTATATTTGCCCCTCAGTGGATCAAATAGTTGGTTTATCACAGCATTTGGACTGCACTCCCTTATCTGAGACACAACAAGCCTCTAAAAAAAGCTGACTGCAGCCAAAGGGAAAGCATCCAGCTCTGCACAGGTCATCTTTCCAAAAAAAGGATTAAACTGTCTGACCTGGTGAGGGACAGTGTAAGGTGACACAGAGCTGACCCTGGCAGCAGGGACATGCGATATCCAACCTACAGATGGCCCAGCCTGGCTCAGGGGTGCAGTGAGACACTAAAAGCCATGACAGACATGACTGCTGTGGCAGCATGACAACTCCCTCTTGCTGATGTGCCTCAGGATCTGTTCTGTAACACAGAGCTGCTGAAGGACTCAGAACCCTGGGATGTCCTTTATCAACTGCACAAGGGGAGCTGCAAACTCTTATTTATCTGAGGGCCAGAGTGGAAAACCCACAGAGCTGCCCCTGATGGTGACAGAAGAGAGGTAAAGGAAGGCAAGTGTGAAAATCTTACCTCCAGAGGTTCTCATTAACATGACATCACCCACAACAATGCCAGAGGAGTTGGATTCCTCAAGGACAGTGACTGGCTATAAATCCAACATCAGTAAAAAAGAGAATGTTTGCCATTTACAGCACTCATCTTTGTGCTAAAAGCTGTGGCTCCAGAAACAGAAAGTAGGGAAATGGGTCAGGCAGGCAGCAGCTGCAAGGGATTCACAACTGCCAAGACAAAAAACCAAAGGAAATTGGGTGTAACAAAAGATGACTGAAAGCTCTTTGTGTTTGGCTGAATTGGCCAAAGCTTCTCATGGGTTCCTGAGCTGACTGGCAAGCTGTGGTCAGGCAAATACAGGTGACCACCAGCTCTCAAGGACACCTTGAGCACTTTGAACAGGCACATTTCAGTACAGAACAACTAAGGGAAAACTTCTTAACACACCATGGACACCTGCAGATGCTCTCAACTTGATGTGGAGCACCAAGAGTTTGTGTGGCTGTTTGAGATGGTTTGATGCCCAGTCCCCAGGAGTTCCATGCATGTATTCACTGAGCAAAAGGAGCTGCTGACATTACAAACCTTTGGTTCCCTGTTGGCCACCAGAATCCCATCTCACTGGAATGTCAGCCCAGCCTCATCCATTTGTATCAATTTAGGGTCATAACTCAAATGGAAGAGAGCCCATGAGAAAAGGCAAAAGTCCATCCCCAACACAAGAAAGCCCTGTTGGAAAAAGTCCCGAGGGAGCCACTGAGTTGATCACAGAACCTCTGCTGTGATGACTGAGAGAGCTGGGGTTGTTCATCCTGGGGAAGAGAAGGCTCTGGGTGGATCTTAAAGCTCTGTCCAGTGCCTAAAGGAGCTCCACGAGCTCTGGAGATGGACTTTGGACAGAGCATGCAGTGACAGAACAAGGGGGGATGGCTTCAAACTGACAGAGGACAAGTTTAGCTTAAGCATTGAGAGGAAATTCTTTCCTGCGAGGGTGGTGAGGCCCTGGCACAGGCTGCCCAGAGAAGCTGTGACTGCCCCATACCTGGAAATGTTCAAGGCCAGGCTAGATGGGGCTCTGAGCAATCTGGAATAGTGGAAGGTGTCCCTGGCCATGACAGGAGAACTGAAGTCCAAGGTCTCTAAGGTCCCTTCCCACCCAAGCCATTCAGTGACTGATTCTATGATACTCTCCAACACCTGCACACAATCACATTTGAAATAACATAATTATTGTATGCTTCATGTGGACTATTAGTTCTTCTAATTAGCCTTTTCTAGTGCTTTACAGTGTTTCCACAGCAGTCATTAAAAAAGTCACACAAGTTTCTTTTTTTCCTCCAATAACACAGATCATCTCAAGCACACAGTTCCAAATACAGGGGTGCATTTCACTTCTGTGAGACAATGCAAGAAACTGAACATTCTGCTTGACAGGACCCTGGATCACCTTAAGTCCTGCTTTCAAAAGAAGGTTAAGATGATTTCCAGAGGTCCCTGCCCACACAGACATTTCTGATTGCATGATTCTGATGGCACAGTTCTCACACTGTCAGAACAAATATCATTCAGTGCCTCTTAAAATTTACTTCTGTTTTTCTGAGAGAGGGACTTAAGTTGCATTTTTTGAGTATGCATGCTTATAGTTTACTCATCAGAAATTTTCCTTTTTCTGATAGTTATCATGCCTAATAAGATTAAAGACACAGTCAAATACACAAAGGGGCTTCATTGCAAACATCTTTGAGAGAGAAAAAAAATACAGGATGAAATAAAGTTAAAAGTTTTACTGAACTGAGAGGTGAGTGTATCAACAATTCTCCTTTTACCCCACTGCCTTTAACAAAAGTTGTCATGGAGAGATGGTGGTTTTAAAGTTGGCATGAGTCTCTTTTTCAGCATTGTGCACCCATTAACTGTAGAATGTTATGTACAAAAATTCTGATTAATATGTGACTCACAGGCCCATATATTCCACTATTTAATACATAAATTTCTCCATTTCACCTGAGTGCTGTATTTGGCTTCTCCATTCCATACATGCAGCCCCTGGCCCAGGAGGAGCATGTTGGAATTTCTGAAATAAGAACTGTACGTCATCATACATTCCAACTCCTAAACTATTCCTGGTACAAGTCTCAGACCAAAAATCTATTTTGAGATGATTGGCAACTCCTATTCTCTGAGGTTGTGGAGAAGGGGATACTCTGTTATAAAAAATCACAAGCTTGAATACTGAAATGAACAGAAATCACAAGGTATCACACTGCATTTTAATGCTTTGGCACTGACAGAATAAAACCTGCAATAAAATAAGGTATTTCTACTGTCAGTAAAGATTCTGTGCTTGTCACCTGCAGTGCTTCTGTTAACATCATTTTCATAACAATCCCTCAGAGGACAAACCAAAAAAAAAATACATCACAAAACAAAAGCAGGATTCACCTATCAGACCACTTTTTAATACTAACATGGACAGAGCAATTCAAGAGAATTATGTGTACACAGGGGATGTGCTGTATTTCATCCAGAGCTTCAATTATTCTTTTAACTCACAATAGCTTATTTTATTTATTGCCTTGTCTTTTTAAGTCTTCTCTCTATTTTTTTTCTTACTGCTCACTGAGTAAGATAGAAACAGGTTTATTTGCTTCCACTCCCTCAAGTAGGACAACATTACTGCTAATAGTAATTTATTTAATGAACTAATCAGCATATTTAGACATAAGGAGAAAATAATTTCGACCCAAGATTCTTCCTCATTACAAGTAATTGCCTCAGGATTTTTCCCCAAGTAACACTGAAATTAAATTTAGATTTCCAAAAAGCAGATGACTCTTTAACACAGAGATGGTTCTGAATTTCCTTCATCTTTCTACATTTTCTTACATTCTCTTTCATTTCTATATTTCTACAATAAAATCAAACTTAATTATTTCAGCTCTGTAATGGGGACTCTGATATTTATTCTAAACTGACCTAAAAGAAGTATAACACAAATAATCTCCCTTTCAACAGAGAAGTCAGGATAAATATTTCCCAATATAAATCAGTATACACACCCTTGGTGTTGACTGTTTTTGCTGTCACCTCCAGTTTCTCCAAAGGTTCTGTTCCAATATTTTCTAATTTAATGATGAGCTGCTGGGTCTCTCCATTGTACAGCTGGACAGACACATTAGTGGAGATTTCATCCCCTGAAGAAGGCTGAAGTGTATGAGCAGACCTAAAAATGTGACAAACAAATTATTATGATGAAAATGTTAAAAACCTGTCCTGGTTACTCTATTCACTATTTTTGGAAGACTCAGAAACTATTGCTGAAGATGCTAAATAATATTTTCCATTCCCATTTTTAGAATCATTGAGGACCAAAATTAATCATTTATGCATAAGACAAGTAAGATTTCAAGCAATATAAAATACATAGTCTAACTCTGAAAGCTTGTTAAAATGCCTGCAAAAACTGTAAGGAAGGGGAAAGGAAAAAAAAAATCAAGAGCAGGTTGTTGTATTTGTGGGATTCCCAGACAAAGGGAGGAATGATGAATCTGACTCCATGTTTTTAGAAGGCTAATTTATTATTTTATGATACTACATTATATTAAAGAAGACTAAACTAAACTATACTAAAGAATACTGAAAGGATACAGACAGAAGGCTAAAAGATAAAGACTCGTGACTCTTTCCAGAGTCTGACACAGCTTGGCTGTGATTGGCCATTAAGTTAAAACAATTCACATGAAGACAATCAATCACCTGTGGGTAAACAATGCCCAAACACATTCCAAAGCAGCAAAACACAGGAGAAGCAAATCACATAATTATTGTTTTCCTTTTTCTCTGAGGCTTCTCAGCTTCCCAGGCAGGAGAGAAATCCTGGGCAAGGGATTTTTCCAGAAAACATGACGGTGACAGCAGGTCACTACAAGGAGCAGGTTCAGTGGACAGTGCAGGGCAGAAACCTCACAGCACTGGATCCAGGGAAAAAATTCCCAGTGTGAAAGGTGGAACGGTGCCTAGAGATGAACTCTTTGGAGCAGGAATGAGGGAAGGAGGCTGCAGAACAAGACAGACGGGCAGAGGTTCCACTCCTGACTGCACCTTCTGTGCTGATGCAGAGTGGTCAGAAGGCATCGAGGATACAAGGTCAGAAGTCACTGAGATTAATGACCAATAATTCCACTTCTTTTTGCAGGTATTCCTGCCCTCCTTCCCTTTGATCCTGTCCTTCCTTACCACAAGACAAGCAGCCTCCACAAACAGGAGCAGATTTCAGTCTTTCAGAACAGATCTGTGATGAGGACTTGAAGTATTTTTTGATCATTCAGAATGTGTGCTGTCATGTACTGTTAGCATTTCAGGGCTCTGGAATTTGAGCATGTGGAGTGAAAGGGAAGAAGGAATTTCTTTATTTCCCCTCATATTGAGACAAAAATATTATGGAATTGCATACTAAAAAGGAAAACAAATTGTTTTCAGTTACTGTATAAATGTACATGTACTTATTAGTGATAAATGTACATGTATTTCTTAGTAGTTCTTCTGTGTATTTTTCTCTCTTATTTCTTTCTTTCTACTGTGATAATTCATCTGAATTAACAGTTATGCCTGGACTGGATTGTTAAGATATAAACAGTGAATTCTTGGCTTGATACATCCCTCTTTGCCAAAAACCAAAGTTTTGAGCACAAAAAATATTGCAAAATTATTCCTGCATATTTCTGTGAAATTCCATGATTTCAAGCACTGAAACAAAAAACTCAGGTCTGTAGTCTGAAGCAAATAATGGAGATTTAGATTATGTCCTGTTTTACTCAAGCATAGATGATGCACTCAGGTGGAAAAGCTTTTATTCAGCATGTGACTAACACTTAAATACAACCTAATAAAATCATCATTTAATTTAATTTTTCACCTTGGAAGGGAGGTGCTGATCTGCAGCCTTGGCAAAGCTGGAATGACTTCAACAGCGCAGCCATTGGTCTTCACTCCTGGCAGATTATCCAGAAGACAATCACTGAAGACTCCAAAAACTGAAGTATGATAACCTGAGTTTTAGAAGAAAACACCAGTTATGTTGTAAATTGTACTGTTTTCTGGCAGGTCTGAAAGTACCCAAACCACCACCTTCTCTACAGGAAAATCTTCTCAGGACACATAATATGTACAGTATTATCAAAACCATTGAAACAGCATTTATAAGTACCTGACAATGTACAAACAACACATGGTCACCCCTCTGCATCTGTGGCATGTAAAATAAAATAAACTGTAAAGAGCCTCTGATTTCTACAGTGCATTAGAAACTTCTGCAGAGATCAACATCACAAGTCATAGCACAGACACCATTTTATACCTGTCACCAAATTCCCTGGGGCACATAAAACATGTCAACCTTCAACACACATTCCCTATTTCCTCAGAAAAATGTTTACAGGAAAGAATCTCAACTACATCCAGAAGGATAAAAGAATCCTAAAGGAAATTATTAATGGAAAAAATATGCATGCATAAACACAAAAACCTGCCATGAAAGACTACAACTTCTGAAAGTTCAATTTAGTAGAAAAATACCTCTCCACTGATTCCTTACCAGGCAATATTTATGAGTTATATCTGAAGGAAAATTTGATACATTGACAAACAAAAAGCTGCCAAGTACAGAAATCAACTCCTCTACTTACAATACATTTTTAGTATGTGGAACTCAAAAGGAGACAACTACAGTACAAATGTTCTGAATGCTTTGATGCTATTTACTGAAATAGTTTCTGAGAAAAAAAATCACATGAAAAATTTTTTTATGAGCAGACACAAAAGCACTTAAGAAGAACTCAGTGAAAACAGTTTTTTCAAGTTCAAAGCCATCCTCTTTTAGAGCTTAGCTTTACCAAAATGGTTCTTATCCTGTATCCTAACTTTGCATTCCAGGAAGACATATTTAAAAATGTGATTTGATAAGATGACTCACTCCTACTACATGTTGAATCCATCCTCTCCACATATGCCTCCTTTTCTAGGTCTGCTAGCCTTTTGTAAAAGCTCTTTAATTTCCTTCCTTACTACACACACAGTTTTATTTTGGCTTATTAATGAAATGATATCTTGACTGCAACAGGCCATACACCCTGGCTAAATTGTTTCCACGGAAGCAATCTGCAAAAATTTCTGTAATCTTACATGAATACGATTAATTAAGGGGAAAAAAAAACCTGCAAGATTATCTTCTGCATTCTTAAGAAAAAAGTTACAGTAATCCTCCTCAGAAGCTTTCCAAATGAAAGCATTAATAAAGGGGAGCTGGAGTTCATTATCCTCTTCCTCTCACACATGAGATACTCCAAGAATGTGCTCGTTACTGCTGCTGCAGCCAAGTGATTCATCAGGCTGTTTTTAATGAAGCCTGGTGAAGGGAACAGATTCCCTGTGTTCCTTTTTTCTTTTCCTGACTGAGGAGAATTCAGAGTGGTGAACACACGTGTGGCAAACAAAGCCATGCAAGCCACAGGGGTGTAAAACTCAGGTTGTTCTGCCAGCAAGGGTGAGTGGAGCCATCCCTTACCATTGACAGTGATCTGCCCTGTGGTTTGGGGAACTCCAACCAGAGTCACAGGGTAGAGCCCAGATTCTGCAGGGAGGGAAAGGGCAGCAGGCAGAGACTCAAATTCTACTCCAGTTGTCAAGAGACCCTGAAAAAACACAATACACAGATAAATCCATTTATGATATAAACTTCCATTTTTATGCTACATACTTATATTTTAATCCCATGCTTTACATCAGCCAAACTTTTATGATTTATTCCAATTTACTCATAGCAGTTATTCTGGGGTTTGAGTTGCAGTGACTACAGCATGCATCCAAAATTACAGCAGGATTTGTATTCAACATGGAAATGTGTTCCAGGAACTGAGATGGGAATGAAAAACTAATAAAAATTTACACTCAAGCACAGTAAAAAAATCACAGATATCATCTGCATGATGCTGTTTTGTACCTATATTTAATTGTACCTGTGACTTTAACTTGAATATTTGATAGGTAGTGGAAATCAAATCACTATCTATCAATATTTGATAGATAGTGGAAATCACAGATCTTGCTTAGCTTTATTTACATACCCAAAATATGTTTTCTAAGAGGAAAAAAAAATTGTATTTACGGATAACAGGGCAAGTCTAGCTTAACCATCCAACCTAAATATTTCAGTGAGTTGGAATAATGCATTCATTTTGCTGAACTGATCCTCTCAAGCCTAAATGCCTGCAGTTACTCCCTTAGTGTCAGAGAAATCTTTTAGCATTCTGAATTTAAAACATGGGACAAAATGCGAAATGAAGCAGAAAAAAAAATCATTGAAGAAATTTCTAAGCGCAGCATTACTGTTCTTAGTAGACTGGGACTTTAAGCTTGGTTAATGAATTGAAGATGCTTGAACATAGAATGTGCTGATTTTGGAAAGCATATAAATCCAAGTTACCCATTGTTCTTCTATACACATATTTATTTTTGAGTAAGGATGCTACAAAGACCTCCATCAACAAAAGAAGTAAGCATAACTGGATTAAATCTTAACTCTGTGTGGATGCTTAATGAGAACTGAGAGCCCTGTTAAAGAGGAATGTACTTACTTTTGTGAAGAGAGATTAAAAAACTCACAGTTTGAGCCACAGAAAAACACATAACATATCCAAATTCTGTAAAATCTCTGTTCTAGCAATTACTTCTTTGTAGACTTGACACTCTTGAGACAACACCTAATTCACCCAAAGCTACTCTGGCTTTGTGGAAAGCTGCATTAGAGAACTCTGTCCTTGAGGCTGCATAAAATTCCATTTCCATTGTACTTGAGTTGTAAATAAATACTCTGTCACACCCTCATTTCTACTGAATTTTTGTTTTCCTCTCATTTCACATGCAGACTTCAGCTGTCAGAAACCATCCCCAAAAACACAAGTAAAACCTAACTTTGTCTTTCTGTATATTCAGCACCCATTGTATCAGAGCACTGAGATTCTTTGATTCCCACATTAATCCTTCCAGTGGGATTCACCCCACAGAAATGGGATGAACATTCTGTCTTTAATACTGATGTTGCCTCAATTTTCACCACAATTCTGCTGCTTTTGCTTTGGCTGAACCAAACCTTAGAACACAAAAAAAAATCTGGGCCCATACACTCTCCAGAACTCACTTTTAAAACTGGTACAGAGGGCTTTAAAACTTTATTTTAGTCTCAAAACCATTGATCTATCACTTGGCCTAATATTCAAATACATTTGAATTATTCAGGATTCATCTCAACTAAAAACTTTCATCCAAGGACTTCAAGTCCTGCAAAATCAGTGATTAAAACTCCCCAAACCCTCCAGTGTCTTGTTTACTATCAGCTGTAGCAAATGTAAATTAAAAAAAACTGGCAGGGACCCCTAAATATTCTCTACTGTGTAATGCAAACCTTGAAAACAAAGGGATTTTTTAGAGAACAAACACAATTTAAATGCCAAAATACCTGCACTAAGCACACACTGTGCCTGGACTAGAAATTGAAGAGCTTCAAGTGCACTAACACAAAACCAAGAAAGTAGCAGTCAATTCCTCCTCTTTCACAGTTCTACTGTTCAGTAAAACTTCCAAGTTTTGAAAAGTAAAGACATTAAGAAAACATTAAAACTCATAAAAATGGGGGGAAAAGTCAATATAAAAATCAACTAGACTTCAGATTTCCAGACATAAATTGAAATCATGACACTTACCCTTAAAACTTAGGCCACATAAGCGATTTTTAAAGGACAGTCACACATCTTAGAATGTCTGAAAGATGATTTCAAGAGCACAATTTGCTGAATTGCACAATTCTGCAATATTTGCCCAACATTGCCCTCTGGTGCCTGAATTTTTGCAGTTTAAGAGCCTAACCAAGGCTGAAGTACTCTCACATCCATCAACTAAAATATTTCAGCCACACCACCAAAAGTAGGGAAATGTGTTAGATTTCTTTTCCTGAGAGTTATTACATTATTTCAAGTAGTAATATTTAGTAATCATTTAGTCACCACTTGGTAATCATTTCTCTTTCTGACCCTACAGGAACAGATCATCCAAATCCAAGGTTTCCTCCTGGGAATATATGAGTCAGGCACACAAAAAATTGTTTTCTTTGTATTCTTATAAAACAATTTAAATTGTCTTGGAGAGAATGTATGCATGCTTTTATCACAGCATGTCTTTCAATCACTTCAAATCTCATTTTAGTTTTAGAGGAACAAAACAACTTGCATGTAAATGGCAGCATTTGGGGATGCTGTTAAAATAACAGGAGTATGTAACTGCTTTTTTTAGGCTTTACTTACCAATCCCAAATTGCAATCATTCTTTTTTTAAAGTAACACGACCTTCAAAGTTACTTTACATGCTGAACATACTTGTGTACCATGTTGTCAAATACTTTACACAAAAACTGTCAAATATTTATTTTAAAGGAAATTTTCCCTACTATTTCTAATACGGTTATTTCAGGCAGACCTAGAAAAACACCAAACACAACCATTTTTATTCTTTTCCCCCCTTCACCTTTCTTGACTAAAACATTCTCCACTAAATGTAGTGTAGCAATAATTAAACATTCTCTCAAGACAGCAGAGACAGCAAAAGATGTGAACTCAGGAAAAAGCAGTTCATGGAAACAATTTAAACCATCATAAGCAAAGTTGTGGGACTGATGATACATTCAGATTTATCAAAATTTTAGATGCTCTTTTTAAACATCAACATAGAGCTCTTGACTAATAGCACAATTTTCAATTAAAAAAAAAAAGGCAATGGCCATTCTTAAAATGGCCATTCTTAAAGCATCATTAATCAAAATACCACACCTGGCTGTGTTCAAATAAATACAGGTCCCAAGCAGAAGGAGAAACATAGAATAAAAACTTAATTCTTGAATAATAACAAAGTATTGTAAATTATAATATTCTCATGGGATAGGAGGTAGCAATTTTTTTTGTTTCTTGATATTTATTTATTAAATACAGACAGATCTACTGTCTGTAGATCTTGTAGCTTTCTTGGAACCATGGCTGTATTTTCCACACTAAGAACAAAATGCTTTCCCACAATACACAACATTACCTCAAAATTAATTACTCAGCTTTTTTTTTTTTTTTGCTTTTAATAGGAAACTTGATAAAAATATGAAAAAGAAGTTAAAATCTTAGAGAACTTAACATTTTGCACTGGATCTTCATATGTATTTTAGTACTAAATCTCCCCAGATTGTACAGTTTGCTGCTTTAAGCATTTGTCTCAAGATACAAAACAAATCCACAGGAGATTTCCCAGAATTTTTTTGATTGTTTTGGAAGGCCTGAAACATGAAGATCATTTTTTCCTGCACAGAAAACTGCAGTTATGGCAGTAACATCAGAACAAACTGCAAAAGGGCTGGAGGCCATCACAGAGAGACCTGAACAAGGCTGTACAGAAATCAACATTCCTGGCAGAAAAGGTGAAGTGGCGGCACAAATGTGCAGCTGAACACCCCATCTCCAGCTGAGCTGCACCCCAGCACCAGCATGGCAAAAATATTCTGTCGAATCCATCCCAGCCAGCTCTGGTTAGGTTCATTTTTGTCTCTCGTTCTGCTGATTTAAGGTGCCTGCTGAGTTTTATTAAAGCATTTGTTATGATCAACCCCAAGATCTCTCCTACTTCACTTTATTGCTCACACAATTGTGGGAGCTCATCACTTCCATGCTCCATGATTGAACATTTTCATTTGTCATTTTACAAACACTACTGCACTTTCCATTGGACCAGCCTTCTAACTATGTGGACAATATAGAAACAGACAGAAAATGAGCACAGAAATGGGGCAGGAATGAAGAATAGATACCTAATTAGAGTCCCAAATCAGGAATATTCATGACTGGAAATTAATAGTAAAAACAATAAAAATGGGCCAAGATCCTTGAGAACAATAAAATAAAATAACAAAAGAAAATCAATTGTTCAGGGTTTATCATCAGAGCAACACTAATCAAAGTCTTGTGTCCACAGTCTCATATCAAGCCTAGAAATTCAATGCCTTTTACTTAAGCACACCTCAATTAACCTGCATGGACTCAGCATTAATACTTCAATTAATGAAAAAGCTCTGGAAGCCTTTCCATGGGGAATCATTCTCCTTAACAACCTGTGCTCAATGCTAACTTGTTTACCATCGCAACAGAAATTCAACAAACAGAGACACAGCAGGAAAAGTACCAAGGCAAAAGCTTGGATTTCATGTAACATGAAATGAGTCATTTATCAGAACAACAAATCTAAATTGAGGGAAAGGGGGAAATTTTAAAAAAATAAAGACTGTAGATTTCAGTACAGTTATATATTGGTGAATGGTGGAGCATGGAAAGGACAAAGAAAAATTAAAGCAAGCAATGGAAAACTCAGAGATGACTGGAAAGAAGCCTGAATGATCTTGCAAAGGTGAGGTGCTGAGTCAGGCAGGAGGAAAAAAGTCGTGGGAAAAACAAGTTGAAACTGCTACTAAATGACAGAAAAGGACACACTTGCTATGAAATTGAGTCAGTGAGAGTAAATAATCTGAAAGAATCTGATAGGTGATGAGAAATCAGACAAGAAAAGGGTATGGGAACTGCAAGCATGGGTACATGTTAATAATAAAACACACCATTTTAAAATATTAACCAGCACTCTGAATTATTAAAATGAAAACAGAGGAGTTTATTCTTATGATGAAGTAATGCCTATTCCCACATTCCAGAAAGTTCACAGATGAGACTGGAAAACCAACAACTTAGGTTGGAAAGAAACTGTAGAGGTAATCCTGTTCAGCCCAGTGCTCAGAGCAGGGGCAGCTTTGGTGGTAGTTTAGGTTTTTCACATCCTGTTCACTCAAGTTTTAAAGATTTCTAAAGATGGAGGTCTCAGGTTCTCTCTGGACAAGCAGTCCCAGTGTATGATCCCCCTCCTGCCTGGGAAAAGGGAATTCTTATCAGGAAGTGTCCCAAGGCTGCAGCTCATTCCCTGGCTCTCATCCTCTGGGAAGAGCCCAGCTCTGCTTTTGCTGCACTTTCCCATTCTGGGATTGAGCAGAGCAGTAGGAATCACCCCAATATTCTTCTTCTCTACAGGCTGAACAGATGTCAGTGTTTTTGTCATTTGGGGAGCTCCAAACTGGCCTCAGTTCCAAAGAAATTGTCTCTAAAATTCCAAATCAAGGGGAACAAGCACTTTCCTCAACTTGCTACAGTCTTGATAAACAAATCTACCAAAATCAATCAATTTCTCCAAGTGAGGCCACATTAGTGAGGAGCAGAATTTCTCAAAGCACTGACTAGAGTTGCATTAATCACTTCAAAGATTTGCATCTGGTTGGCAAATTAATTCCTTTTGTGCTTTCCACTGGAACTGGAATTCAGTGGTAATGCCAGAGAGAACTTCACCACAACAACAGTAAAGAGAAGTATTGGTGCTACTACAGTTCATTTGCTCAGGGAATGGATGTTGTGTAGATCTACACAAATAACTGCATTCTGAAATCTGGAGTGCATGGAAGCACTCAGAAGGAATTTCCTCATTTAGAAATTTTCCAAGTTTTTTTAATATATAACAACATCATTACTTACACAATACTAATTGGACTGTAAATCAAAATGTTCTTAATCAATTAATTCCCACAGAGACCCTTCTGATGTGCAGCTTTACAACTACTTTTTCTATTAATCCCTAAAAAATTTAAACACTTCTGTGAGGGTGAGAGAAAATGCTGCTGGAGAAAGTGGCATGTTAGCGTCCAAGAATTAATGTTATTGTGCTATAAAAACAAAATCTTTGGGCACATTCATTTCCCATGGAAAAGCACTTTATCTCATGTGGTTTATTATCAGTAATTTAGGTCAACTTGCTTGACTAGACACTGCAGTAGACATATCAATAAAAATAAAACCCAAATAAAAATCATGAGTAAACAAATGTACACTGATTCAATTAGCTTGACAGAACAAAGGGCTCTAAGAGATGTGATTTATATTTAAAGCAATACTAAAGGTAAAAGTATTTAACATAAAGGAAAATGCTGGATTAGGACTGAGTGGATATTAAGTTGATCTGATAGCTACAGAACTCTTAACCTTTAAATTGATAACAATTTTTAAAAATCCTGTTAGATAGAATAAAGAAAGGAAAAAAAACACAATTTCCCTTTTTTCAGGACACACACTGCAAGCAGCCAGCTGAAGTAGAGAGCTTAGGCTTGATCCTTCTCGCCTCACATATTTCTCCAGTGGTTTGGGCTTTTTTTTCACTCCCTTCTGTTCATCTGACATTAGAGTGTTTTGAAATAACATAAATCACTGGGAACAAGAAATCCAGGAGCTGAAGTTTTTATTAAAACCCAAAGCTTCTCAGATCTAAGTATTTTAGTTCATCAGGTTTTTAATTGTGGTCAAAATGGGAATTTGAAAAGCAAGGATGAATGCAGACTTTTAAACAACAGTAGCAAGGGTATAGTAATTATTAGGTTTTGGGTATAATTATTAATTGCAAACCAGTCTATGTAAATCATGTAGCAGGAGTTTTACTCAATGCAGAAATGTACAGAACTGATTTATGGGTCAGTGCCAGTAAAGCATTTAAACAGACTGAGTTGCAAAGATTTTTCTTTTCAATACCTCATCACCAAAAATATGAGAAAATTGATTAACACCACAGCGTTAAACTGAGATCATGATGGCTTAAACCATCTTTAAAGAATATTTATACAAAAACATATTTGAAAGTCCAAATCACATTTTTCTTCAGAAAAATAGCAGAAAGAGAAGATTTAGAAAGGTGCATACCATGTTTTCCACTCGGAGCTCAAAAGGCATAGGGTTGTACACCATCAGCTGAACTTCACACACATCTCCCTGCACCCACTGGAAATCTGCAAGAATAATCACAAAATTAAGGCAGGAATTACCTAATCACAGGGTTATAAACAAACAGCAGCAGCTGAGCTGTCAGATTGCTATAATACTTAATATATCTCTATAATCTTCACAGCCCAAGTCCTGCTCAAGAGCACTGTGTGACACAAGCTGTAAATCCCAGGCAAAGCAAGAGGTGAAGGGACTGGAAATGTTCATTAACACAGCAAGAGTGCTCCAAAGAACCAGTGTTTCATGGGCAAAATTAACTCAGGCAGCAATTCAAAACACTGCTTCAACACATCCTTCATGTTCAACACTTAAAAGGTTTCCATAATTGGAGTTTTGTAGAGCGCACATGGCCTTGATATTGGAGACCTGGAGAAGAATCAGCCAGGTAAGAAATGAACACAACAGGAAGAAGGAAACCACAAGTCCTCATACAGGCACAGCTGATTATATGGAGTAAATAAAGAGACAGTGAAGTGGGCCAGGTAAAAAGATGAACTTGCAGTTTATATCTTAGCACAAGAGACAAGTCAACTTTAAAGATACTTCACTCTGCCAATTTTAATTTTTTTTTTGAGTTTTGTAATTTAAGGAGATGAGGCTGGACTAGTGGAAGATGTCCCTGTCCATGGCAGGGGAGGTTGGAATTGGATTATCTTTAAGGTCCCTTCCAACCCAATCCATTCTGTAATTCTATGGTTCTGTGGGAGATTATGGAGGTCAGAAGCAGAGATGCAAATTTTGAGCAACCGTTCAATGCAAAAAGATTATTTTATATCAGCACTTCATAACCTTTTCAGCCCTCAGGTTTGTGTCTACCTTCCAAATTTCTCACAATGAACCACATGCACCTGAAGTGCAGACTTTAAACTGAATGTGGCAAGATTCTCCCTGCAAGCTGAGGATTTGCAGTCCAAGTAAACAAAAGGTGGTTTAATTACATTTGTTAAATAAATCATGATTATAAGCTAAATTATAGCATACAGGGATTAGTTCTTACTAGTTTACCTAATGATTCTAATGATTTTAACATACATTGCTAACAATTTTTCTACTAGGATATTAAGAAATGTCCAGTAAAAAACCTGGATAATCAATATTAAGACTTTAATGCACAGTTGAAGCAATCTGTACTCTAACTGTACATTCACAATCATTTACTTTCTGATTACATTTTGCAGGCAATATTAGAGAGCTCAAGGGAGATGTACTTAATGCAAATGTTTAACTCAAATTAATGCTAGTGGAAATTAAACACATACATCCACAGATGTTAATGGGTGATATTACTGTGAAACCTGAAAAGCAAAACTGTTGATTAAAACAAAACATTCATATTCACAGTGGTATGAGATGTTCTCCACATTTCATATTTAATTGCTTATTAGTGTCCATGATGTCTTGTGCATTCTGCAGCCCCCAAACAGCCAGTGACTGCTCTGCACAGGTACAGAGTTAAACATTGTGGATTCCTACAGCAACAGAGGCACCTGCAGGAGCACAGCAGCCCTGAATCTCCACATTCTAACAATCACCACACTGAGGAAAGTTCTGAAAGCACAACACCCAACACTCTCCAGGCCCAGGACTCATCCCTCCATGATTCATTTGTGTCAGTGATGTCAAACCTCTGGGACTGGGCCAAAGCTTCCAGCTGGTGTTTGTTCCTCATGCTGTGGGCATCAGGGTAGAAACATTTCAGGTGTGGTACCTTGTGGCCAACACATGGTGTAGCAGATTGAGGGATCTCATCAGGATCCTCAAGGTTTGGCACAAAATCCCATTGCTCATCACTGGGGAGCCTGCTTTTCTCCCTTCTCCCCTTCCAAGCTAGTTCAGCAAGCCTGATTGCTCCTGTGCTAGAACTCCTCTTCCCATATAAAAAAGGTTCATCCCATCAGATCTCAGCAGGCCAGGTGTTGATAGATGGTCAAAAAACCCACATTTTTTCCATTGACACCAACCTTGGAGCCACACAGCAATGGAGCTGCCTGTTCCTATCAATGTTATTCCTTGTTTCTGGAAGGATGAAGGAAATCACTCCCTGTGCTCCTGATCCCTCCACCAGCTGTCCCAGAGCCTTGAAGTCTCTTTTGATTGGCCTCACACTTCTCTGTGTTGTTTTGTTGCTGTCAGTCTGAACAACCGACAGCAAACAGGAATCAGAGGGTCTTTCTAGATGGAATTTTCCAGGTATTTCCCTGACCTGAGCCCTTGGGAGACAGCAGACCTCCCCTGAGTTGGGTCAGGTCTGCACATGGGGCTCCCTGTTCCCTTTAGCAGGGAGGGAGTCTCCTGTGAGGATCACCCTTCCTCTCCTGCCAGCAGAGGAGGTTGTGATGCAGGGTCCAGGTGGTGCTGCTTTAGGAGGCCCCTCTGCCCCAGAAGGACCCTCAGCCACCTCATCAGTTGTTTGGCCTTCTCATTCCAGAGCCTCACTCCTGTTGTAGAAGGTGCCAGTCCTACTTGTCACAGGAGGAGGAGGAACCTTCCTCCTGGTACATGCCTGGTTTCATCCTTCCCCTGTAACAGATCCCTGACTGACAATCCCTCCACTCATCACCCTGCTGGGCTGTGAGTCCACCTGCTTTGGGCTCTGAGAGTCCCTCTGCTTTGGGCTCTGAGTCCCTCTGCTTTGGGCTCTGAGAGTCCCTCTGCTTTGGGTTCTGAGTCCCTCTGCTTTGGGTTCTGAGTCCCTCTGCTTTGGGCTCTGAGTCCCTCTGCTTTGGGTTCTGAGAGTCCCTCTGCTTTGGGCTCTGAGTCCCTCTGCTTTGGGCTCTGAGTCCCTCTCCTTTGGGCTCTGAGAGTCCCTCTGCCTTGGGTTCTGAGTCCCTCTCTTTGGGCTCTGAGTCCCTCTGCTTTGGGCTCTGAGTCCCTCTGCTTTGGGCTCTGAGTCCCTCTCTTTGGGTTTTGTGTCCCTCTGCTTTGGGCTCTGAGTCCCTCTGCTTTGGGCTCTGAGTCCCTCTGCTTTGGGCTCTGAGTCCCTCTCTTTGGGTTTTGTGTCCCTCTGCTTTGGGCTCTGAGAGTCCCTCTGCTTTGGGCTCTGAGTCCCTCTCTTTGGGTTTTGTGTCCCTCTGCTTCTCCACTGCATAGAGAGGGAGGTGACCACTCCACTCCACCCTGGGCTTGTCAGGCACAGCTGTGTCCAGCTGTGGTCCCCACAGCTGGGAGGGACACAGACAGATTGGAGAGGATCCCAAGGAGCACCACAAAGGTGGTCAAAGACTGGAGAACCCCCCTGATGAGGGATATCCCCTCTAGGGTGAAGAGAAGGCTCAGGGGCAGTATCATCACAGTATTCCAGAACTTCAAGGGCTGCATAAAGACAACAGAAGCTCTTTCCTCACAAGGAGCCACAGGTAGACCAAGGGTAACAGAGACCAGTTGGACTGAAACAGGTTTTATTTTCTTACTAATTTTTTTTTGTTTCAGTAAGAACAGCGATTCAGTGGAACAGCCTCCCCAGAGACATGGTGGAGTCTGAATCAATGCAGGTTTTTTGAGATGAGATTGAAATCCCCTGTGAAAAAAGTGCCAGGGCAGGGCTACAGAATTGTTCCTTGGGGGAAAAGGTTTTGAAAGGAAAGGTAAAATGAGCTATATTTGTATCAGCTAATACAGGTATGACAGAGCTGCTGGATTTACTAACAGAACTGTATTATATATTCTTGCTGCTTTAGACTATCAGCACTCAAAACCAACAAAACACTTCATGTCAAAAATCAGGAGGTTTATTTTTTACAACTAGCATGCTATTAAAGCAATTTAACTACAATATAATTATCCCTGTTATTGTTTCCAATCAGAAAAGCTTATCAAGTTGAAAGCTGAAAACATTTCAAGACTTTCTAAAGGGTTTTGTTTCCCTTTGGTTCGTCAGCAGTGCTTGATTTCCTTTGCTGCAAAACAATAATTTAACCAAAATATGGAGTACTATCTCCATGTAAGACAAACAATTCATTATTGTTGTTTTTAATTAATGTTAAATCCATGCCATTAAATTACTCTCATTAATTTCGAACTTAATAAATTTCTCAGCTTCTTTCAAAAGAAGTATCTGCTTTTATTGTGTATTTTCTTTTGTTTGCTGAACTTTGAAACATTAGAGGCTTTTAGCAGGGACTGCAATGTTTATATACTTCAAAAGACAAATGCTGTACAGGATCAGAAGCAATCAGACATCTCCTTAGGCTAAATAAAAACCTAAAAGAAGAATGTTCACTGTAAAATGTAAATCTCCTACGGTACACAAAGCACCAAACAAATGCTAACCAGTTCAAAAATGCAGGTTCCTTTTGTACCCATCAAGGAATGAGAATACTGCTTTGTACAATTATGTGACAAATGGGAATAAGGTTTTATTTAAATGAAAAAAACACGACACGGTATAGCTAAGAGATTAAATGTTGAAAATTTAATAGTAATTAAACTTTCAATGAATTATTAAGAGAAATCAAGAGAGCACTTTAAGATGTTCCCCTTCATGCACATTTTTTCAATTTATCCTTTAACTAATTCTTCTTAATCTTTTTTTAATTTCTTATCCTTTCTCTTTTGAAATCAAAGTAGTGCTGCAGCAAAGTCACACTGAGCCAAGTGCATCCAAACTGCCACATCACCATCCCTGCTCTGCACATCCCAACTGTTCCTGTTTCAGCTGTTTATTGAAAACAAACACCAAAACCCCAACTGGAAAATGTGCATGTTCTTAGGGTGAGGGATTTCACCTCACTCATAACCAGGTCCTCAGCAGGGGCACAGCCCATTTTTGTTGGAAAGAGCAAACCTCAGAGATTCTTGGAGAACTCCCCTGCAGGCAGGCACAGTCCAGATGAACAAGGAACCAAGTTAAGACAAAACATCCTGCAAATTTCTGAAGTTTTTACAATCAGTTCTGTTCCACAGTCACATAAATCTTTTCTGTGCTGACACTGATGCCTCTGGTAAAAATTATCACACATGTGATAGGCACAAAAGCCACAAAAAAGAACTACCAATATTTGTAACTGAATCCAGGATTTAAACAAACTTCTAATCTTTTTCCAATGGCACAATTACTGCACTGAAAGGCTTTATAATCTTTATAAAAAGAAAATTTATAAAAAGAAAATCTTTATAAAAAGAAAACTGATATTCCTAACAGGATTTAAAAACTTTTTCCTGGCTGATCTGTCCTTGAGTAAAAGGGACCAATCAGACAGTTCATCACTCTGAGTTTATGTTAAATCAGAATAGGAAAAGGAAAAACCACAACAGTGCATTTTCCTCAGGGCACTGAAATTGTGGTGGCAGCCAAGCAGAGCATGTCAGAACTAAATTTTCCCTGAATTCTCTTTTGTTTGAGAAGGAAATAAAACTAGTTTATCTCTTCTTGAAAAATCAATATTACCATATATGAGACTTTATTCCTCTTTTGAATATGAAACTGTGCCCCAGAGAAAAAAAGATTTGTTCCTTCAGGACTTGAGGCTAAAAAAAAAACTGGTTATCTCAAATGAAAGACAGCAATGTTCAGGTTTGCTTTTCTTGACCCCAGAAGATTCTCTAATTTAACAACAGAACAGAAAATACTGTAAATTATTCTTACCTATTTTCTTATTTCGTTCTTCCCCACGACTGTGAGCAATAATTGGAGAATATATGAAGGGGCTTTTGGTTGACACATTCTGACCAAGTAAACTTTTCATTTTGTGAGGTCGGAGACTGGTTGGGAGGTTCAAGAGCTTCACAGATCTGGTGAGTAAAAATAATTTGTAATTATTTCATTTATTCTATTTTGTACCAGGTGACTGTGTTAAAAAAGAACTGATAAATATGAAATATCAGTCTGAGAATAAAATACCTGAAATGGAACACTTGAAGCAAACATTTACAATACAAAAGGAAGAAACACCAACCCAAGGAAACTGCAGTTTCAGAAAGCTCTCAGAAAACAAATAACAAAGGAAAAAAATGTTCTTTAGAAACAACAAAACCCAAACTAGCCAGAACAGTTATTTGAAATCCAACTATTAATTTTTGAGTACAGACTGAACCACAACTCCAGTGCAGAAAGCAGCCAAATATTCAACTTAAACCCAAACTAGAATCCAGACAAGATTTCACTGGGCAACACAAATAAAGAAACTTCTCCACAGTGAATAAAGCTGATTTTAATACAGTGAAAATGCAGAGTTGCTGCTGGAAAGAAGAAAATGTCCCAGAAATTTGAGTGGATTTGTTAAACAACCAGAAAGTAAATTACAAACAGAAAACAAATGATTTATTAGATTGCATCCCTGCTAGACCCAATTCCTACAATGCCATGCAGGGAAATCAATGCTCTTCCAATGCTCAGGGGAAAGTAAAGACTAAATTGTGAGCAGAAGAACAAGCAATAAATTGGTGGATATTCAGTAAAATCAGCAGCATTCTATAAACCTGTAGAACACCTAATTACTTCAAATCAGGAACTCAGCACAGCAAAGAACAGATATATCAGTATCACACTAATAGAAAGTAGACGCACTCAAGAAACCAAGATAATGTGTTTCTGCTGAAAAATAATGCAGCTGTAAGAGTAGCACTACACTGACAACTTCTCTCTGTGAATAAAAACACCTGATAAGAAATTACTAAATAACACTAAAAGTGTGTTGAACAAGAAATAAATCACATCCATATGTGACATCTTGGTGATAGTTAATGTCGGCATCAAAATCATATGTAAAATTACAGACAATGAGCCTGAGGAATAAGAAGGAAACTGTAAAATACCTCTGATATTTCATATTTTAAAATTTCTTCTATAGAATTTTTCTACAAATAAGAATGCAACTTAAAGCAAAAATGTGAATTATACTTATTTGAGGAAACAAACACTAAATTTGATGTAGAGGTAATAAAAAGGAATTTTATTTTATATACAGAGGAAAGTGCTTTGGCTCCTTCATGGTTATTATATAAATAACCATGGTGGATAACCTGCTTTACCTGAATGCATGACAGGGGAAGGAATGTTCCTCTAAAATGTATCAGAGAGCTGTACCCTCACAGGTCAGACACAGAAGAGAGCAGATTTTTAATTCCTTTGTGTGAAAAGCTTCAGTCATGTCCCCTGGCCTGACACCACTGAATGCAAATGAGTGACAATTAAGAATTACTAACTGATTTCACTAGCTACCCAGAAGATCAAAATCCTGTATTTGGAAAATGTTAATTAAAAACAACTTTGCTTAGATGGGAAAGGAAAAATATTTTTTTTTTAAATAAATCTCACTACACTAAGTAAACAGAGGGAAGGGGAAAAAATGGCACTGAGTCAATTTGAAGTAGTAAGAAAAATGTGTAAAGACAACTAAAAGCAGCAGTGCTAAAAAGAAAGAAAATTTTCTGCTTTTAAATATATTAGTAAGACAATTACCTTTAACATAGGTAAATTATAAAAATGGGAATAGTGCATTAATTAATCTGAGAAAATACCAGATGATGATTATATATTGAACATGAGTAATGGAATATAAAGATTTTGCCTTGCCAAATCTCTTCTATTGCCTTTAAAGTGCTGGGGAGAAAAGGTAACATTGCCACTGTGTTCCTATTTCACTGTGGCATTTCCATGTCTGACAGTATTTTGATTAAGAAATTCACATCCAAAATAAGCACCCCACATTAAATGGATTAAAACTCGTAGACCATGAAATGCCAACAGTAAATAGAAGTCATCCCCATCAGTAAATGTGTGTTTTTACAAGGCTCTAACATGGATTGAATCATAAGCTGAGGTTATTCAACATTCATCAAAATGACATTTCCACACATTTATAATTGATGTCACAAAAATTAGCATGATTTAGCTCAGAGAGCTCTGCAGTCCAGCAGCACAGCTGGTTCCAATGGGCTGGGCAGCTCTACAGCACCAGATCTGCTGGGCAGATGGAACCAGAGCCTTTATATCTAAATTCAACTAACATTTTATTGGAGCACAAATTTTTATTACTATGGCTTTTATAGAAATTTTAACAGACAAGAAGGAGGAGAGGAGCAGCAGTCCTTAAATGTTAAATAAAGCTGATGCTGGGTTCCTCAGCCCATAGCAAAACACAAGTAGCAATTCCCAACATTCCAAGCACAGCCAGGTCAAGACAAGTAGATAATGTAAGTGGATATGTTTGTCCCCTTCTCTCAGCTTAAAAAACATTTTAATTGACATGAAGCATTTCTCACTGAAGTCTTGGGAATCTCTTGCCAGAGTTCTGGCTGGCCTCTTCTTCCAGTTTCTTCTCCCAGGTAACAAGAGTCAGGATAAGAGGAAACGGCCTCAAATTGCACCAGGGGAGGTTTAAATTTGGTCTTAGAAGAATTTTCTTCATGGAAAAGGTTGTCAAGTATTGGAAGGGGCTGCCTAGGGAGATGGTGGAGTCACCATCCCTGAAAGTGTTCAGAAAATGTGTGGATGTGGCATCTGAGGACATGGTTGAATGGTGAATGTGGTGGTGGTGCTGGGTTGATGGTTGGACTTGATCACCTCAAAGGTCTTCTCCAAATTTAATCATACCATGGTTCTATGATGCTATCACTAAATTCATTACTCCCATGAAGGAGGTTTCAATCAGTATTTCCTCCATTTTCTTCACTATTCAACATACTTCTTCTGGATAGGAATTATCTTTCCCTCAAAAAGAAAATATTTCCTTTCAGTCTTCTATTATTGATACCCAGTGGCTACTTTCTCTCTCTCTGATTCTCTCTAATGTCATGCCAGGCTTCATCCTGAACAAGTTGTTATTCATTGGCCTGACTGCAGGATGTGCCTGAATGGAACTGAGATTTAGAACAGGCCAGTGAAGATGCCAGCTTGAAAATGCAGCATCTGGAAAGGGAGAGGTACAAAAAGCACCATTTCCAGGCGAGTTCCAAGCTCTGTGGATGGAGACTGCATCCAACTCATGGATTTTCAGTATTGAAATGATCAAATACTCAACTAAAATCTCAGCTGCAGCAAAATACCTTCCTTCAATTGAATAAGAAACTGTTGAAGGACAGTTCTTCAAAAAACAAAACTTCTCTCTTTCTGAAACTAAAGGCCACAAAGTATTTTCTGGTCAGAGGCTCTATTTTTGATCAAGAGCTTCTCAAAACAATTTGACATTTTGACATTTTTCCATGTTCCTGTGATCCACATGCATAAAGTGAGATGACTGCATCCTTTCAGTATCCTTTAAAATTTGACAGGTACTGTGAAAAAGCTAAAGACTGTGTTTTGGTCTTACTTCACAATAGGCAATTTGGTGAAGGGAACAGGAGGTAGCTTCAAACCATCTGGAAGAGTGATGACTTCCATTGTCCCAGGGCATTTTGCCGTGTAGCTTTCCAAGCTCTGCGTGACATCTTTCTTTTCTAGAAAATGAAAGTGGAAAACAATTTCAAACTCACATTTAATTGAGACTATAGCCTTTTTTTGTACAAAATAACTCAACTGGCATGCCAGCTAATTTCTGCATTCAGCACTTGGAGTGATGTTCAACATCGACAGATGGATCAAATATAATTAAGTGACCTTAAGCAAAAGAGTTTTCTAGATTTCTCAGAATTTTTCAAGTGCCAGTCTATACCTACTTTTTGTTAGGGTTTTTTATTGTCAAAACACAATTTTTTACCATTCTACCTATTAAATCTATATATCCAAACAAAACAATCAGCCTCACACATATTAAGGTTATTAATAATAGCATTGCATGGGAACAAAGACTGCTCTGAAACATTAGATTAAATAATATCAAAGGCAATGAAGAGAAACAAATTACTTTGGATGTTAACTTGTGTGAAAACTATCTAATCTTCAAAATAATTACACTGTGTTACGCTACTAAATCATAACAACAGGAAAGAAAGATTTTCTTTGGTTTTGCTTAAAAATACAAGAACATTCAAACAAATATATATTATTTGGGCTATCTTCAAGAATGTACAATGATTGCATATTAGTTTTATCCAACAATTATTTTCAATAATACATAAAACTGTGTCTCCAGAAAAAAAATAAGTCTGTTTGGAAATACAAAGCCTCAACACAAAATTGTATTTGATCTTCATGGTGCCTTCCAACCCAAACCTTTCTACAATTTTATGATTCCCTATTTCTCTGATGAAATGGAAGACTGCAAATAGAGAAAAGTCTGGCAGTGTTTGTTTAGAGGGGAGAATGAGACAGCTGAAAAGACCTATATTGTTTTGAAGTGAATATTCAGAGTGTTGGAAGGAACCTTAAGGTCCAACCCCCCTGCCATGGGCAGAGACACCTTCCACTGGACCAGGCTGTTCCACGTCCGACCTTCCACCAGGCTGTTCCATGTACGTGCTACCAACAGAAATAATTATTCAATATCAAAACTGTATCAGGAAAATACTTAAAATATCAAAATACTCAATGATAAAACTCAATAGGAAAGGGAAGGGTGATAACAATTAGCTATCAGTAGTAGTACTACCAGAAAAACCTGCTTAGAGGTGTACTGGGTATGCAGCAAGGTTTTGGTAGCAAGGAGTGGCCTCTGGGAGAAGGCACCAGGGTATTTCCATTCCAGACAACCCCAAAACAAACCTGCTGCTGCCCAGAGCTGGGCCAGTCAGTTATGCTGAGAGAACACATCTAAGAAAGGGTAAAAAATGCTCACAGCAGCTGTGAGAGGGAGGAGTGAGAAAAATGGGAAAGAAACATATCCTGTAAACCGTGCCAAAAATACCAAAACCTGCCCAAAACACCATCTTGGGCCTTGAAAAGCACAAACATCCAGCAATGCTTGTGCTGCCCACACCAATCCAGCTCAGTTTGTGAATTCTACAGCCACAACGAGTACACACTCCTTCAAAGCAAATCAACATTGATTGTAATCCCTTCACTATGGAATTAATGGCACATAACTGACAAATTGCCTTGCTCATGTCTGTGTTTCACTGAGCCATTCCCCACTTTTTAATTGCCTGTAGGGAATGCTCCCAAAATCCCATTAATTAGACATCCATACAGACTCAGAGCAGCACAGCACAGTCAGGAGTTGTAGTGGTTCAAGGCTGAGTATTACCATCAAAATTTCAGGTTATTTGCCATATTATGAGCAGGGGCACACAGTGCAAGCAGAATCCACCCAGATGGAAATGTTCACAGCTACCAGGAATGATGGAGGTAATGCTACAGCATCTGCTTAATTGTGCTTGAAACCAAAGATCTGCCATGCCAGAGCACTGCCTTTCATTCCCTAGTGTGAAACAGTGCCAGTTACTGTTCTCAAAGAAAGCAGGCTGCCATTAGCAAGAAGAATTTGTTTACAGATTTTTGAATCTCATGGTTATTTCCTGGTAGCAGCTCCCCATGCTTTCCATGAGAAAAAAACCAAACCAAACCATTTTTCCATGTTGATGTGGTGTGAAACACATGCCAGGCCAGCAGCTCAGTTCCTTTTTCTTAGCACCACATCTCAGCCGAGATGCTGAAGGAATCCACATCAGCAGGACACCATGGGAAGCATTCACAATGCAAAAGAGCTGCCTAATCCTGCCCAAGAGCCACTTCTGAAACCCAGCATTGGAACCTTCTCCCTCGAGGAGCACCTCAGCTCCCTGATCTCTGTGCCTTAATGGTTGCCAAAAACCTTGTCAAAAACCAGGACAAACCTGCTACAGAGATTGCAGCTCTGAATTCTCACAGCTTCTGGCTGCCTGACATCCTGATCTGACAGAACCTCCTGGCAGGAGCCACTGAACTCCTCAACCTCACTCCTGACCCACAGTGAGGAGATTTCTGTGATTGTTATCACCAGCACTTACCTTTTTGAAAAGAAGTGACAAAAACCAGCTGCTCTTGGAGGTCTTTACCCACCTGGTGCCTTCATGCTCATACAGCAGGAAGGCAATCACCACTTGATCCTGTGACCTGTGAATTCACCTCAACAGCTTTAAAAGCCTGTCCTGCAGCTGGGAGCACTACTGGATGCTCTTGTGAAGGTATTAGAGACTCATTTATTGAGTGAGGAGTGACAGCTTATTTTCTCATCTGGATTAACTATGTTCACAATTTTTTTGCCCTCACTTTCTCTCCAGACTGACTGAAAGCCCAGGATCACAGAATGGCTGTAACCAAATAAAGCTGAGCAAAGCCTCTGGCAGCACTGGCATGTGAGCACATTCTGCTAAGTTTGTTCAGTATAACCCCACTGTATTTTTCCCATTTCATACCAACATTATTTCAACAGTATAACCCCACTGTATTTTCCCCATTTCAAAGCCAACAAATTGGCTTTGACTGCTTCTGACAACCAAAAAATTTGCAATTTTTTTCTACCCATACTCTTAGAATTTCATTTCTCAACTACTTCACCTCAACATAACAACCACTGGTTTTGTGTCCAAGCTGCTTCAAACCTTCTTCTAATATGAGAACACAAAAATCTCAGAGCTTCAGATGCACAGTCAGAAACCATTAGTGATTGAAAGCTACTAAATGTGAAAAAGACAAGACTTTCTGCTCGTTTCACAGTCCTGTGGAGCAATATTTCACAATAATGGAGCCATTGAAAAATCAGACCAGGACAGAACAGAAGGTCAGTTACAGACTAACATTTTTAAGCACTTCAGTAACTGTGATTTAACAGTGTAACACAAACAGCAGTTCATGTCTTGGCAGATAACACAGAAAATTAGAAGAACACAATTGTTGTAACTGTGCTCTTTAATATTTGAAGAAATTTAAAATAGCTGTACTTGGGTTCAGTCACTACCCAAGGCAAAGAACAAAACCACAACATTTGTTCTTTGGCAACAATTGGTTGATGTTGTGTTGATCAAGTCACAGTGTCCCCTGCAGAACAATCCACAGCCAGGTGAAATAAAGAAAGGGAACATTTCCTGTCTGACCCACCAATCCCACTGGAACAACTTCATTTCCTTATGAAGCTCACTAAAATATTGAAAACAAATAGCTCAGCACCTTCTAAATCCAATTTTACCTCAGTGATAGGCCCAGAATCAACATTTTAACAAAACCCGTCATTGCCCAGGGTGCTTTGTGCTGGCTGAGCTTTCTCCTCCCTTGAAGACATCAAATAATGGTCACAAAGGAGAAGTCTGAGGAGAGCTCCTGCAGCAGTCCTGACCCAGCTCTCTCAGGACAGACTCAAACATCTCCTTAATGAGTTAACAGAAATATATAACAAGACAGAAAAGGCAGTCTGATGACAGGAAAAAAAAAAAAAAAAAAAAAGAGAAAAAGCAGTTTTTGCACCCATAAACACAGATATGGCCTTCCAGTGCATGGAGGGAATGTACAAGAAAGATGGAGAGAGACTTTTTACAGGAGCATGTAGTGACAGGATAAGGGAAAATGGATTCTGACTGACAGAGGGCAGGTCTAGATTAGATATTAGGAAAAAACCTACTTTCTGAGTCTGGTGAGGCTCTGGCCCAGGTTGCCCAGAGAAGCTGCAGCTGCCCCATCCCTGGAAGTGTTCAAGGCCAGGTTGGATGGGACTTGGAGCAACCTGGGACAGTGGAAGGTGTTCCTGCTCAAAGCAGAGATGATAACTTTAAGGTTGCTTCCAACTCAGACTATTCTGTGCTATTTCCTTCACACACCCACACAAAATGAGAATTGCTTGGTGAGCCCTAGAGAAGAGAAAGTCCATGTTTGCTTCCAGAGGAATCTTCAGTCTCACTCTGCCATGAAAATGCAGTGTACTCTTTAAACTAAAGAATTTCAAAAAGGCCACAAAATATATTAAAACCCTCACAAAAGCTGCAGTAGGAATTGAATATTCACAGACAGCAACCACCACACGCCTTTTACTCTGCAGTTAATCACAGACTGCAGGGGGTGAGCAAAGCTCGTCAGCCTATCAGGCAGTGCCTGAGCTCTGGTTTGGGCAGGGAGCAGCACATTTGTGTATTCAGGGCATCCCCCTTCCCCAAGCACAGAGCCAGAGGTGTGAGCAAAGCACCTGGGCAGGACCTGCAGGAGGAATCCACTCCTCATCACCAGGGCTGGAACTGAGCAGACAGAGCAGCTCCTCTCCCTGCAGGCAGCACCCTCTGCTTCTCCACCCCAGGAACTCTGACAGGGATTGGGGGATGGCACTTTCTACAGTAACAAACAGCACCATTAATATTTTTCTGAAAAATACATGGAGCAGGTAAACACAACTTCAAAGTGCTCAGAAATCTCCTACTTGAACAAGCTGCTTTGACAGGAACACAGGAACCCTGAGGGTTCATCCCACTGCTGCAGTAAATGTGTGCGCTCCCCACAGACTCCAAAGCTTTCTTAGGGAGAAAGGCACTGGCAGCCACCAGAGAGTATGAATCCCATTTCTTTAGAAAATCAAGCAACATAAATCTCTAAATAAACA